ATATATATATATATATATATATATATATATATATATATATGCAAAACTGCACAATGGCTCATTGTGCTTAGTTTCAAGGCTTCCATGAACTTTATGGTAATTATAGGATAGAAGTTGTTGTCCATGGATACTTTCTCAAGATTGTCATTAATGTTACAGAGCACTTGAAATCTAGGGGACCACGTGCAAAGGAAATGTGAGGATTCTATTTGTTCCAGAACATATGGTTTAAGCACATAAACTTCCAATACACAGGCAATGAATTGAAATTGATAATGCAGGCCAGAATCATTGCCTAATGGCATGGGGGAGACTTTTAACTGTGTAGGCATATGAACACCCTGGATCACTATAATAAGTGATACTATTTTAGAATGCAAAACTAAAGACCGTGTTTTTTAATATGTTAATAATGTGAGACTGTCTTTAGAAATATTTATGTCTTATTTAGAAGTAGATTAAAAGCAGCAATATTGCTTTTGGAGGCACTGCATAGTTACAGATCAGAATGACTTCAATCAGTCTGCAGTTTGCTTGTATTCAGGAACACAGAGAAAGCTGCACTTTATAATGTAATTTGAGAGAACCCACAACTTCTAAAACCCCAGGGGGGAATGATTCTGTAGAGCAGAAGAAATAGACCACAGTGCTCGGGAGTCACCATGGTTGTCTGCTTGTCTTCCTTATTCTGTCCCTAATTAGGCTCAGGGAAAAGTGACTTTTTCTCACCCACTGTGACAGTTATGATTTTCTTTTGCTCAAATCACCCACAAGGAAAGCTTGGAATTCGTGTTCCTTAGACAGTTGCCAATTCCGCTACAGAAGATTAAATGTCCCTATCATACATGTCATATCCTGCAGCTAACAAGAAAGAGAGTCAATGTAGCATGGCTCCATCCTGGCGGCTGCCGCAGTGGGGCCATCAACCTCGCCTAGGGGCCTTTCAGTTTCATGTGGTGTACCACCCAGGATATCCGTCAAAAGATGAACAAGACTATCAAAGGGCTATCATTGCATCTTGGAATGTTTAAGATTATGAACTCCCTTTTTTGTGGCTCTAAACTTCTAAAGCAGGGATGTCTGGTCAGGGGCAGAGGCATTCGGCTCGTGGTTGAGTCCACCTGTTTACACCACGGAAGACGATTAAAGGTTCACTGCTTACCCGTGAAGTTGATTTTCAGCAAATAATCCTTGTACAATTTCTTTCCGTCCAGGATCTTCATGGCATCACAGAGCTTGGTGGTGTTAGGGCAGAGGGTACGCTGCATTTTGTGCAGCGCATGCGCCATGGCATACACGGCGTTCACCACAAACATGATCTTTGATTCTTGCTCATAATTGCTGCTGTCAATGGCCAGGTGCTTGTCGCAAACCCGTCTGTGGTTTCTCTTGTTCTGGAGGCTGCACTGGAACTTCTGCTCCCAGAAGTCTCGGAACCAGGGGTTGCGGTGATTGTTGTAGGGGTTGAGGCTCTGGAAGTAGCGGTCGAACTGGCGAACAGGGTGGGATGCCAGCTCCAGGGTGATGGCGCCATAGGCTACGTGCTCACTGCCCTTGATGATGCTCTCCTGCGCGCCCCAGCCGTCGCTGGCCACCCAGGTGAAGGAGGCATTCACACGGCTGGCTGCTGCGATCAGTTCCCGTGAGTCGTCACTGCGCATGAATAGGACCACGACCCGCGCATTGGGTTTCTGCAGCAGCTCACGGATCACGCTGTCGTAGGACTTGCGGATGTTGGAGCGGCCCACCTTTTCTGCAGTGGCTATGCAGATGTTGCGCAGTCGGGCTTCCTGCTCGAAGGCCTCAATCCCCGTCTCCCCGTAGTCACCCTCAGAAGCAACAGTGGACACATAGGTCCAGTTGAAGAAGCGCAAGATCTCGGCCATGGCTTTGGCCTGGTAAAAGTCAGGGGGCACGGTCCTGGCAAAGTAATCATAGCGCGACTTGTCGCTGAGTTTGGCGCTGGTGGAGGCATAGCTTATCTGAGGGATCTGGAAGAGCCTCAGCAGGTTTGCCACCTGAGTAGGGAGACAAGGGAAGCACCTTTTTAAAAAACAAACCTCAAGGGAATGATTGCGCACAGGAAATATTCACACCGTTCACATCGGTTCTCAGCCTCCCTTTCATATGGAGGTCACTCCTTGAGACCTTAACCGGATGCTTTTCTGGGTACTGTGTTTAGATATTAGGCAGCTGGTCCAAAGCAGACAGCTTATGTTTTTGAGGAAGAGCATGGTGAAAAATGAACAGGGCACCACGGCTGGAGCTTCTTAAACTCTGAGCTAGACTCTAGACTAATGAAATCTGTTCAGAGGTTCTGAACGTGGTTGTTCTTAGTTCCTGAAGTCCTGCTATACTCAGCCGGACAATGAACTACAGTGAAGTGGCCAAATTCAGTTTTCAGACAACTTGGCCGTGGTTGTATAGAAAGAGCCCGGGTGTTTAATTCTCACTTCCCCCTCTTTCGCTAAAAATGGCAGTCTCTGAAAGAGTTTAATTTGGGAACTGAGTGCTGCATGGACAGTCCAAATTAGACATTTATTATCTAGGTTAGGCGAAGGAAAAAAAATCAATTCTACTTAAAAAAATCTCTTCAGATCATTGAAAATTTTAGTTAAACTTCTGAAACTACAGTAATTTTTTCTTTGCCTTGTTTTTCCTTAAAAATTGTTGAAGGAAACCATGCAGATATGCTTGTCTTATGTTTTTTACTAAAATCAAGTGAAGTATTGATGGCATTGTTGAGAGTGAGTGAGTACTTTGAAATATTTAATACCTATGCTGATTAAAACAAATTAAATTTTTTATAATTTAGCTATCAACATTTCAGTATTTTTATTTTTATTGTAGGAGAAAAAAGAGAAAGTGATCCTAGTTTATTAAGGAGTGCTGCACAGTGTATTTAAAATATATAATTACACAGATCAAAGTAGGTTATATGCATATCTAATAAGACAAGCATGGTGGTGTACACTTTTAATCCCAGCACTTGGTGGGGGGAGCAGATGCAGGTGGATCTCTGTGAGCTCCAGGCCAGCCAGGTCTACAAAGTGAGTTCCAGGACAGCCCAGGGCTACATAGAGAAACCCTATCTCAAAAGACAAAACAAAGCAAACAAACAAGAGTCTTGACTTCTGAAAGATTTGTCTTTGGACTTTAAATTATGTAATGTTCCATGTCAACTATAATAAACAGACACGTTGAGTATTTCTGAAGACTATACCCTGGACTAAGGTTAGAAGTTTGGTGTTTACATAGTACATTCAGGGAGACCAGTTTGAAATGGGGAGCTGTGAGCACAATGGAAGCAATGTGAAGCAATGGACATCTCAGTCCTGATTAATAACCATTTCATCCAGCAAAGGAAACCAACAACCAGGTTCTTACACAGCCACACAGCATGTTGCTGGAGAATCTGGTCTGCTATTAAAATAACACTGACATAGCCAGAGCTACCAAAAACATTTTCCAATTGCAGTAACTCTCACTTAACCCAGTGGGAAATCCTGAGACATGACACAGCAAACAGCAAAAAAATTAGAACCTCAAGTGGATTGAATGGTTGGATTAATAGGAGAAATGTGGCTCTTCTCTGTTAAGGAGATAATGGCACACCAATACTGACTCATTAGAGCATGGGAACACTTTTTGTTTACTCAAGCTAAGTGCACGGGCAGGTAGCCCTGAACTGGTACTGCCCTTACTCCTAGTACCCTCCTTCCACTGGACTTATTTGGTACCATGGCAGCTGTGGTGATGCAGTCCTTTCTGTGCAGGTACCCAACAGTGGAGTTTCTGGGTAGCATCAGAAAGGCCATTTCTTCTTGAGGCAATACTTTCTCAATTTCAAGCTGGAGTCACCAGAGCCTGAACCCTCTAGAGAGACATAAAATGAAAGAAACCAAACAAAAAATATACCCAGAGGCATTATTTCCTGGAAGTGAGGAACCACAGTTTCTAAGCTGTTGAAATTTTCTTCTGCCAAAGAGGTAAGGAAGTGCTCAAAACAAACAAACAAACAAACACACCATTCTTGTCTTTTGACTGCTAGATCCCATGGTATCATGTCTGCCTCTCAAGAATATCTGACAATAACTCACAATTAAGAAAAGCTGAACAATAGGGTGAGTTAGCTCCAACATGATAGCAGCAAGGACATTTTCTGTCCTGGGAAGAGGTACAGTGAGCTGAAGCCTGCTTGGGAAAGCAGTGAACTAGAATAAAATACTGATTATTGTCATTGCTTTTATTATGCTGAACATGCCCCCATGCATACATGTTTAAGGGAGTAGAGTTAACTCTAGAAAAAGGAGGCAGAGTTAAGATATAAGGATGGAATTCTTGTAAGTACAATGTCAAGTGCGTCATCCACATTGAACAGTATGGAGCAATAACATAAAGTAACGCTATCAGAGTTACATTAGAAACACATATGCAACAAATTAATAATAGAGAAAGTATTGAAATACTGTGGTGAATTGTTCTTCTAAAATTAGTCTCCTTAGTTATAAAAGTAATAATTCTGAATTTATAAGTAGATACCACAGAAGGCAGATTATTAATTTTTGCTTTGGTTTTGCTTCCCTCCTCAGTCTGATCTTATTTCTAGAGAACAATATTCATAATTTGGCTTGTGCTTCTTATGGATCCATGTTCTTGCAAAATCAGTTGTCTCTTGTAGTGAGTGTGTGGTGTGTGTCTAAATCCACACATGCTTCCTTTGGGGGGTATATAAAAACCTTTTGGTGTAATTATTATCTTCATTTCAATATTCAAAAGTGAATTCTATGACCTTATTCATAAGCATTTCATAGTTTTACAGTTAGAGTGTAGCAGAAAATCAAAATGAAAAACTAGGTGTTTGACTTCCAGTACCAGGATTGTTCTCTTCTACCTTCCTCTCTACCTCTACTTGAGACCATCCTCTTGAGACTTAGAGTGTGGATATATTCAGCCATGGAGAACACAAGAAAGAGGAACAGAAAGCAGTATTTGGCGTATACCATCCACTGTCTACCTGATGTCAATAGGAGCTTTCTTTGTGTGTGCATGTCCATGTGAGAATGCAAATGCATGCCTGCCACAGTACATATGTGGAGGTACAGAGAATCCTCTGGGGACGGTCCTCATGTTCTAACCTTCTATAAACACAGGAAAACTGTGTTTATAGGAGATGCCATAGGAGAACTGGCATCACAGGCATGTGCTACCACATTTGACTTCGTGAGGACTATCAGGTCTTTGTGCTTATGCCACTGAGAAAGTGCTTTAGCCACTGAGCTATCTCTCTAGCTCTCTGAGCTTTTTTTTTTTAAATAGAAACTTTAAAATTTGGGGGTAGGAGATGCCCAGGTTGTTGACAGCTAAGTTCTGTATCTCATTTGTTGAAAAATATAGGCACACTGGCCGTTGGTGGCACACGCTTTTAATCCCAGCACTCGGAGGCAGAGGCAGGTGGATCTCTGTGAGTTTGAAGCCAGCCTGGTCTACAGAGCGAGTGCCAGGATAGGTTCCAAAGCTACACAGAAAACCCTGTTTTGGAAAAAAAAAAAGAAAAGAAAAAAATAGGCACTTAAAACATTCTTGACTTGCTAACTGGCCATATGGTTTCTTAGAGAAAGCATGAGGAAGTAAGGAAAACTCCTACACTGGACATCATTTTGAAAGATAAAGGAAGAACCTTGTAAGGATGGGAAATTTGTGTGAAATTTGGAAGAAAGTTACCCTACTATGTTATTATTAGTAGAAGAGGAGGCAGGAAAACCAAGGTCTAGTTATACATTTTAGACAAAAGCATTTTAAAAGAAGATTTGTACTTTGCATAAGTAGAACTGATTTAAGTAATATAGTTTAAGACAGAAAGAATGACTTAAAACTAATTCATACAATGTAGTCTCCATAGAATAGAGAAGATAACCCCCAATCCCATGGGTTGATGGGATGCCCTAGAGGGTAGAGGTTAAGGGATGAGGGTAATAGGTGTGTTTGGTGTGAGGCTGAGCAAGAACTATGTGTGCAGACAGTACAAAATAGAATATAAAAATGGAAGTAGATTTTGTTATTGCTTTTTTTGCTCTGATTTGTCCTGAAGGAAAAGACACAGTAGGTAGAAACAGTGAATGGCTGGAGAAGTTGATTCCATAAGTATAAAAGACAATGGCTGATCATGGTGATGGATGCATGTGATCAGAGAACCTGGGTGGACTGAGGCAGGATAATTGGGAGCATGAGGCTTGCATGGGCTTCATATAGAGATCCTGTCTTTAAAAATCGATGACAATATTACTCCCCCTTTCTTCCTTCTCAATAAGGATGAATTCCAACATGGAAATGGTGATACAAATAAAAATAATATGGCTAATTTGTCTTACACCAAATCTCTCCAGAATGTAAGAAAAGCTCTTAAAATCACATTCAGTTTGTTGCTATCAATTAATTCTGGAAGACAAAGATTAAATTATGGAATTATTTTAGTAAATCCATAGTGGAAGGACCAAAGGGTGATAGAAGAGGAAGAAGGGAAAATTCAGGAAACATAAAAGAAGAATATGTATAAATTTACAGGCACGGTTTTGGTAATTTTCTAGTTCCTAATTTTTAAACAAATATGTCACAGACACTTGGAAATGAATGAAGCAATTATTAGGAATCAGGATGGTCTCAGTAAGGGTACATTTCACTTTCAGCATTAGATGGATCATTTGAAGAATTGTAGTCTGGAGGGCCATGGAGAATTATGGAGGACCATTGAAGACCATGTAGGACCATGACTTCATTAAAACATTAATGACATTACCTGGCATCTTGTGAAAAAAGTGGAAGAAGTTGGATCATGAATTAAAAATATATAAGGTAAATTTTAAAAATATATTCAAAGCAGATATTTTTCTTTGTGTGCAGGGCCTCACTGTGAATGTCAAATTACTCTCCAACTTGCTATGTCACCAGGCTGTCTTTGAATGAATTATCCTTCTGCCTCAGCCTGATGCTTGGTGGGATTCTGAGTATGCATCACCAT